TTCAATGCTTAGTTCAATTCATTCTGACATATCGGCACCCTAGAGCAAAGTGGACGGCATCTCGCTACAAGTTCTTTATGCTCGCCTTTATTGCCTCGTTTTGCTGGTACTGGTTCCCAGACTTCATCTTCCCAGCACTGGGCTACTTCACCTGGGTCTGCTGGATTGCTCCGAACAATGCGGTTGTCAACCAGGTATTCGGCATGAAGAGTGGCATCGGTTTGTTTCCTTTCACGTTCGACTGTAAGTAAACCCTCATAGGCCCAACAAAGTCCTGGAAAGCTCGTTGATACTAATATTAAATAGGGAGTCAAATTGCCTATATTGGTTCTCCGCTTGTCGTTCCCACGTGGGCCATTCTCAACATCCTGGCCTCTCTGGTGTTCTGGATCTACATTATTTCCCCGGCGCTATACTACTCAAACACCTGGGACTCGGCTTACTTACCCATCCAGAGCAATTCCATCTACGATAACTTGGGAAAGACGTTCAATGTTTCCAGAGTGATTAACAAAAAGGACGACTTTACTTTCGATCCTGTCAAATACGCCAACTACTCAGACGTACGCAAATACCCCAAACTCCCCATTCTATATTATTTTCAGTAGCTCTTTAAACGAGAATGCTTACTTCTTTTACTTAGATCTACCTTCCCGTCACGTATGCGCTCAACACCTTTGGTCTCTCATTTGCCACCATCGCATCACTCTTTGTCTGGTTGTTCCTCGAGAAACGCCGACACATTGCAGCTGCGTTCAGGTCCACCCAGCTTTCTGCTCTCCTCGGGGGCAAGATCGTCCCTAGACACAACCCTCAGCCAGGCTACAAGGCCGTCCCGCTCTGGTGGTACTGGGTTGCTGCGCTGCTTGCTCTGGGATTCGGGATGTTTGCTTGCGAGTTCTACCCGGTTCAGCTTCGCTGGTACGGAGTTGTCCTCGCGTTCGCAGTGTCTGCCATCTTCTTCGTTCCCGTAAGTACCTTCTAAAACTGCTGCTAGTATGAAGAAATGCTAATTCGTCAAATTCAGCTCGCTTGGGTCTATGCGACGACAAATATGAAGATTCAAATTGATATTTTTTGCCGTATCATTGCAGGATACATCTGGGAAGGCAAAGTTCTGGCCAATATCTGGTTCTTCAACCTTGGCTACATTTCTGGCATCAAAGGCCTAGCATTTGCCCAGGACTTGAAGTTGGGCATCTACTGTAACGTGAGTCCTTCGCCTCGTTTCCCCTCCAAAGCCGCCCTTTACGTACTGACAAGGCATCGTTGTAGATTCCGCCCCGAAAACTGTTTCTCGTTCAGTCAGTGGGCCTCGTCATTGGCTCTCTGGGTCAAGTCTCCGTTCTCAACTGGGCTCTCAACCACATCCCAGAGATCTGCTCTACAAACGCCCCCAACGGCTTCACGTGCCCCTTCTCTCGGACGCACTTCAATACCAGCATGGTTTGGGGTGCTCTCGGGCCCCGTAGATTCTTTGCCGATGGCGCAATGTACCGCTCGCTGCTGTGGTTCTTCCTCGTCGGCGCCGTCCTGCCCGTGGTCGTCTACCTGGTGAGGAAGAGAGTCTTCCCCGAGGCCAAGTGGTTGAAGAAAGTCCATATTCCGCTCTTCCTTGGTGGACTCAACTATATTCCCCCGGCGTCCGGAACGAACTACGGCAGCTGGGCGATTGTCGGTCTCGTTTTTGGCTTGCTCATCAAGAGAAGGCAGAGGACTTGGTGGAGACGTTACAACTTTGTTCTCAGCTCAGCGCTGGACTGCTCAGTTGCTATTGCTGGAATCGTCATCTTCTTCGCCATATTCTACACCGGGGCTTCCAAGAAGCTTACTTGGTGGGGTACGGAAGTTCACAAAGTAGGTTCATGACACCTTATAATAGCATCTCGTGGGAATAGCATGCTAACCATGATCTTACGCAGGATACTTGTGACTGGAAAAGTTGCACTTACATGAGCCGAAGCGCTCATAAAAGTACCTGAAAATGGAACGCCAAATTTGGGGTTCGGGAAGCGATAGGCACGCGGGGTATTTGCGTGGGGGTTGTTTTTCCGTAGTGCAAGCGTCCCACCTAGTAGTTGAAGTTCGGAGGGGTCTTCGCACTTGAAAACTAAATTACGTAGTAGACTTATCTTAATTATTAGTACCTTTATTGGAGCGTGTTGTCATCTGAGCACTCGGTGTTAAGTGCCCGTTGAACCAGGTTTGTGCCTGAAGCTGTAGTCAAGTCATGGGTCTGCGCTGTCAATTGCTGTTCATGATCGCAGCTACTATGTCGGAGAAAGTCATGGATGAAAATCGGAAGAATTTCTTTATTTTTGATGCTTACAGTGGCGCCAGTGCTATTGGAAACAATGGCATTGGGACACGCCCGGGTTTAAGGCTTACTGTGACGGTCAGCGCTACCTCCGAAAGTCCGCGCATTGCGGCGGAGGAGTCATCGCCGGCTGAATAATGCAGCAATGATCTGCACTGCTCCGACCGTTCGGCCGTGTATGCAGCCCCCAGGCGGCACATGCATACGCCGGCCGGAAGCCTGCGTGGCCTTTACGCACCTCTTCGCGAGTTTGCATGTCTTCTGTCTCACATCATGTATAGTGTACACTCCGAAAGTCCGCTACAGTAGCTTAAGAACTCGGTGGATGAGTCAAGTTTCATGGGGTTTACAGTGTAACTGAGTAAACCGTGCTCCGCAAACATTTGTAAGCGGGGCCCGAACTCTGGGCACCCATACGGGGCCGATGGGATGAAGCCTGAAGGGCAGCAACCTTCGAACGAGGTCGAGAACTCTGTTTACTCCTCTCGGACTCTATAAATGTAGTTGAGACCAGCCGCATCGTTCCAGGTTTCGTCGCTATACCTCAAAGATCTTTCTGGTGAACAAATACAACATGACTACTTCAACAAGCCCTGTGATACCCACCGGTTCGACGATCCTCGTTACTGGGGCCAATGGATTTATCGCATCACATGTAGCCGATCAATTCATCAAGAATGGCTACAAGGTTCGCGGTACTGTTCGGGACATCGAGAAGAGCAGCTGGCTCAACGCCTACTTTGAAAAGACTTATGGCAAGGGCCACTTTGAACTGGTCTCAGTTCCAGATATGCTTGCAGGAAACGCTTATGACGAAGTCGTGAAAGGTAGTATTTGATGCCCCTACTGTTAGGTAAATGAGTGCTGTGTTATTATGCTGATACCTGCCAGGTGTCTCCGCTTTCATTCATACGGCATCCATAGTCAGCTTTGACCCTGACCCAAACAACGTCATTCCGACCGCGAAAGAGAGCGCCTTGGTTGCCCTCAAGGCTTCATACAAGGAGCCGAGCGTAAAGCGCTTCGTGCTAACTTCATCATCGTCAACGACATTAGCCGCGAATCCTGAAACTTTCATGGAGATGAAGGGGGCGGTTGTGACCGAAGACACTTGGAGCCCTGACGCGAAAGAACTGGCCTGGACGCCGGGCCCGTGGGGTCCTGAGCATGGCGCTTTCGTCTATGTTGCCAGTAAGGTTGAGCAGGAGCAAGCCGTTTGGAAATACCACGAAGAGAACAAGTCCAGACGCCCTGACCTCGTTGTCAATTCTGGTAAGAAAAGCTTGCATTGTGAGCTCCTATGCTTTTTGGTCTCGGATATTAACCGTCATATTAGTCCTGCCCAGCATGAACCTGGGAAAGAGTCTTGATGTTGTAAACCAGGGACACAGGTCTACTTCAGGTTTCATCCTGCCTTTCCTCGAGGGACAGAGAATGCCTCCTCACTTCAGCCACCCCCGTAAGTGCTGAAAGTGAAAGTTGGACAGTCCTATAGCTAACTTTGTGCTAGAATACTTCATCGATGTACAGGACGACGCTATTCTGCATGTGGCTGCCGCTATTTTACCTGATGTCAAAAGCGAACGCATCTTTGGTTTCGCTGAGTCGTTCTGCTGGGATGATGTTCTCAAAATCTTGCGCAAGCAGCACCCGGGCAAGAACATCCACGAAAACTTTGCCAGCGAACCTTTCCCAGTTATCATCAAGCCCGTCGACCGCGCGGAGGCACTATTGAAGAGGCTGGGACAGCCTGGTTGGACTTCCCTGGAGGACAGCTTGCGGATGAACACAGAGGACCTCAAAGCTGAAATTTCTGCCTGAGAACAGGGCTTTCATGGATTTCGATGTTTTGGTGTAGACGTCGGGGTTTGGTAACTTGAAATCGAAAAAGCCAACTTCAGCTAGACAATCTAGGGCTGAGACTTCACATCAATATCGACCAATAGTAACTAATCAGCCCGCAAGTCGCATTTCAGCTACACGTTCTAAAGCAACCGGCATCACAAATGTACCCCGCATAAGCGCCGGCTGCTGCCTGAAACCGGTTTCTTTTAGCCAAGATGCGAGTTCGATCAAATTGAACTTCTTCTGGTCAGCACGACCATCGGGATCTTTCTGATACCAACATGCCTCGTTTCAAGTTTTTTAATGGGCTCGAGAACAGCACGGAGAGTGATTGACTGAGTCAATACCCCAACACATCGGGGCCGACATGGACCCTTGCTAGAGTTGCCGGCATTTTATTGAGTATACCGCCCGCTTAAAGTCTCTTGTCAAGTTCCAAACACCATGGATCGTATGGGAGCAGGAAACCAAAGAACTCTTCGTTTCCAAGAAAGATTGCCCGTTGTGCGCGGCTCTTTGGGAGTTGCTGATTGAACACAGTCTGAACCAGGCTAGAGAGCGTTTCAAGCACGTAACAACAGAAAGCTCACATCCCGTTGCTCTGAAAGTACTGGAGGTAAACAACACTGGTAGGATTCTCTGGGCAAGCCTTGAAGTTTCATTGGAAATCACACGAGACAGTTTTGTGTATCTTTCAGAGGCATCAATAGGCATTTCGCCACAGGATCCAGATAAGGGTATGTCTCAACCCAATTCTTATTCCTAAATCAATACTGCAGAAAGCTTCACACTCATGTACTGACCACTTCCCGTAGCATGCCAGCATCCTTCTTTCTGGATGTCAGGTCGGACATATTCACTCCGGACTTTGGCAGAAGACAGGATACTATGCGCAAGGACTTGGTTGAATACTTGTGAGAGCACGCACGGTAGCTACTGCCAACCACGCAAGGGAGAATTGCCAAAACGTTTCATCGATACGAGACCGGATCAGCCTTTACGCCTGGTGTTTACCACGAGTGAAGTATTCCAGCAACTCTCCGCCGTCGTGCGATATGCAACATTGAGCTATTGCTGGGGAACATCGACTCCATTAAGAACTACAAAAGCTACGGAAGAAGACTTTGGTGTTTCTATACCTGAGAACCTTCTTCCTAAAACTTTCCGACACGCTATAAGATTAGTCCGCTCATTAGGCATCAGCTATCTTTGGATCGACTCCTTGTGTATAGTACAAGATGACCAGGCAGAGTGGGAATTGGAGGCATCTCGCATGGGGGATTTCTATGCTGGAAGCCTTATCACTATAGCAGCAAGCGACGCTTGGGATAGCGAAGGAGGCTGTTTCCCAGGAGACGATAATAGCATGGAAGCAGTTATAGATGGCAAAGACTCGAGTCCAGGAGACACTAATGATCCTGAGAGTGCGGCAAGAGCTAAGGCAGATCCTACAGTCCGGATGTTCACCTACAAGGGAGAGGACGGCTACTCCCAAACGTCTTGCACTAGAATGATCCGTTTTCAATACCTTGACCTTCGCGAAATTCCACGACAAGCACAGCTCAGCACACGAGGATGGGCGCTTCAAGAGCGAATCTTGTCTCCAAGGATTCTTCACTGTCTGAAGTCGGGCGTTCACTGGCAGTGTCAATACTTGTACGAAACTCAAGCTACTCAGACCTACCAGGTCCACCATTTTACAGCAAGTGATTCGACATACCCCATCACGCAAGTTTCCCAATGGTGGCCTGAATGGATCGAAGATTACTCCAAGCGAGACTTTACTATCGCCTCCGACCGGCTGCAAGCTTTCGCCGGGATTACCAAACACTACACAAACTTAACTTCAAAGAAACCGATTCTCGGAATTTACCCTGACAATCTTGCTCGAGACTTGGCTTGGATCAGAAATGGCCAAAAGAAGGGCCCCGGTATTCCTGGAGCACCCTCTTGGACCTGGTTTTCTTGTAACGCCCCAATCATGGTAGATGATTGGGGCTTCAAACTTCAACGCCGCTTCAAGGTCTCAAATGGCGTGGACTTGGTCGCCTTTGGCATCGAGTGGAAGGGAATCCCGATGACGTCCCAGATTGAGTCTTGTCATCTCATCATACGTGGAGTTGTCAAGAGTATTTCAGTCCGCATACCGCCAGAAGCCATGCTATACAATCCACCGTACATGCTGCTCAACGATGAAGAGACCGATTTCTCCAAAGGCCCAATACCTTGGACCTGCTCAGGACGATTCGACGATCCCGGTCATCCGGTAGATTCCGGACTCCCATACCCTTGCTCGCTTCTCAGGACGAGGATGATTGAGGAGGCCAAAGGTGGCACGATTTTCATGGATACGTTTCTGATTCTTTCTCGTGAGAATGACCCAGCTAAAGTAAAGTCGACTTAGCATGGGAGCTTTCGACGCATCGGAATCGCATCATTCAGAGGCAAGGACAGAATCTTCGTGGACAATTCCGACAGAAAAACAGTATTCCTCATCTAGAAAGATTATACCAGACCATCCCGTATACCTATATTGAAAGAAGCTTTTAAGGGTCAAATGTTTATTTTAGGAGATGTTCTCGGAAAGTACTGAATAGACCTCCACCACTCCTTCTTATTCCTACTTTAGCGAATGATGCCGCATTCTGTAGTCAATAGTATCAGTCGTTTCACGACATCCATACACGCAAACAGGATTTGCCACTGCTGGATAATGTGCAAGAGTCCAGTGCCAGCTACTACGCACATTACAAACGCTTGCATAGGGCTTGAGAGGGGAAGTTTGAATGATGACTTGAGTGGAAGGTGAGCTAACTGAATCAACTGGGCTGTACCTGTTGTATTCGACTCTGGATATGCGCAGTGTTTCACACAAGGTTCAAGGAGAACAATTTCGGTTATTTCAATCTAAATGAGCGCTCAAGGTAATAAGAAATGAGATGGATTATGGCAAGCTTTAATAGCTCGTGATCTTCAGCCTCAACTCAAAGAGCATGTTCAACACCTTATTATTCTCTACCCCCTCAGTCGTCCTTGGGGTTGCGGAAGAGTACAGGCGGAGGACTTCCTGGCCGTTGTCCATCAAATTGCCTTCGGGAAAGCGCATTCGGCTGCCAGACATAGGTCAAACCAGGCCTTTCCTGCCTTGCGGTGGCAGGAAGAAAGACCGTCATGCCTTCTGGTATCTGCTGGGATATGTGTAGAGGGCGAAGGGAGACTGTGCTTGGCAGGCCCGGAGTAAGTATTCCAGTGTGACCTGCAGTTCATCCTCGTTCGGATAACGTGAACATCCATCGATGGCGCAGAAGACCACCGCTCCTGGAATAGACAACAAAGTTATCTCGAATAGCTGCCGCAAGGCGTTAAAATCCCACTCAGATAATAGCGCATAATCGACACCCATGGCCAACGTTCGCTCAGCTGGTAATTTCTCAAGCAACTGAACGATCAAACTGCGCAAAAGATGGAATTGACCTTGCGCGCTATCCTCGCGGAGGATACCACAAAAGTAGTCAAGAGTGACGGCTGGCTACATATCTTGGAGACTGGCAACTAATGACAATCAAACGCTTGAAAGGGGTGTCGTCAGTCTTCCGGGCTCATGAATTTAGACAAATAGGATTTGTGACTGATTTGACTGCATCACATGCGAAATGTTTCGATTTGTGTCACTTTCTTGACGATATCGCTTCCGTTGATTCCCTCCACCCTGGCAACTGATCCGATGATGTCTAAAGCCATCTCTATTCGCTGCGAAGAAACTCCACGCATGCCTTGAAGAACCTGTCGACTAAGTCGCGACGTCTCTTGCGGTGCTTGCTGGAGCATCATGAACACTGCATGAGATGGTGACGATATTTGACTACTTTGATGCTGGCCAAGCAGCTTCATTTCTCCTGCGAAATCAATTAAAGCTTTTCCTATTTTATACAATATTTAACTCGGCAAAAACTTCCGCTGTTCTTCCAATATTCTGTTCTGGACTGATTCAAGTTCCTCAAATTTCTTCTTTAAGATCGCGTGTTCCCCTGTGTGTTTGGGGACGAGTTAGTGACTAAATCACACTCAAGCGGAGATTAAGAGTTCATGTCTATCAAGGAAGAAATAAATGTCACCTGCAGTTCGACTCCGTTGCTATGGAGCGAAGCGTCCGGGAATCATCGCTCAGAAGCGCCAAAGCACCTCGTTGAGCCATGGCAGCTGCTGTTGGTATCTCTATCACAGAGTTGTTGGTTCGGATCGCCTAGTTCTTTGGGTGATGGAATGTATTGGTCTATATCTTTATTTTGCACAAAGTGAAAAGGGCCGTTTTCAACGGTAGGTTGACTGGGCTGTTGCAAGTTGATATAGGGACTGTTGCCGGCCACTGCGTGCCCTAGCTTCGCTGGTCGGCTTGGACCTCCAATTCGACAGCTGCTTTCATACTCTGAACAGTGCCTTTGGCTTTTATCCCGTGCCTGCTCGTAATTAAGAACATTGTTCGCGAAAGGCTGGTGCAAAGGGCTCGGTCTTCTGTATTGTACAGAGAGTCTCCACTCTGACAAACACACATCTTCGCGATCAAATGAAGGTCGACCGACAACGCCCCAACGTTATCGTCTACCCCGGTAACGCTGTGACCATACTTGTCTTGTAATTACCGTCAGAGCTTTACTATTTCTTCTATCATGTGCTTCAGTCAACTCATTTCTTTTTTCAGTGTTCTCTCATCTGCTCACAAATTGAAGCCAGGACGTCGAAGTGTTAGGAGTGTAGTAACTATTTTGGGGTTGACACACGAGGTTTTCCCGTCTTCTTAATGGGACTTTACATCAACGTTGGCCATGCGACTGCCGAAGTACTGAAGTGGAGATTGAGGGGTAAAGCTGCTTCTCGGACAATAAGAAGAGGGGACAAATGCACCCCAGAAGCTAGTTAATTCTTCAGAGCTCCGACGAAGAGTCGGCCGCGCAGGGCGGCTTCGAAGGAGACAACCTTTCGGCCAATGCTACCAACTCTGGTTTCTCATCTATTTGGGTTTTCACACTGGCTGACGTGAGCTACTCTGACCCCTGGCGACTAGCTTTCAGCTCAACCTTGGCCATCAATCGGCAAACAATACATGTCTGAATGAATTGACCCCTCACTTTGCCCCGCCATGTAAATCCGTTTGCTATAAATCCGGTTGCCCCGCCTTCGACACTAGGTAGATCAGCCACCCACCGAGATATCGCGACCTTTAAAATTCTTGACGTGAGGGGTGTTTTGTAGAGTACAGAGACATACATCTTACTTCCCAGCATTCCATTGATACCAGTAGTCCTTCCAAAATGTCCACCAAGCTCCACAAAGCGCCCCCTTTCAGGGCAGAGCACATGGGCTCTCTCCTTCGCCCTCAGAAGCTCCTCGATATTCGCGAAGGCAAGATCCGTGATCAGGGTCTGTCCGAGGAGGAAGCCGGTCTTCCCGCCGTCGAGAAGGAGTCTGTCGCCGAGGTGGTCCAGCTGCAGCGCGATCTGGGCATCAAGGGCGTCACCTCGGGCGAATTCAACCGCACCCGTTTCTGGGGCCTCATGTGGGATGAGTTCGAAGGCTCTACCCGCTTGCAGGATGCCGAGGCCAGCATGTTCCGGCTGTACCACCCCGACGTGGTGAGCCTTATCGAGAAGGACCGCAAGGTCATGCCCGGCGACTCTGTCATCGCCGGCGGAAAGCTGTCTCACTCGCCCTCAAAGTCCAAGTCCAACTTGCATGAGCTGCGTTTGGTGCAGGCTGCCCTGCCGAAAGAAGAGTGGAAGGACATCAAGTTGACCATGATCACGCCAGCTTGGTTCCACATGCGCTACAAGCAGGGCAGAGCATACACCAAGGAGGCGTACGCCAACGATGCTGAGTACTTCAAGGATGTTGCCAAGGTTTACCAGGCCGAACTCCAGCAGCTTTACGACGCTGGCTTGCGCAACGTTCAATTCGACGACCCCGGCATGGCTTGTGAGTAAGCTGAGTCCGGCAACACTACAATTGCTAATCTCTCGCAGACTTCTGTTCGCAACAGTTCCGCAAGGGCTGGGAGGAGGACAAGGACAATGAAGGCACCGTCGAAGACCTCCTTGACGCCTACATTGCTCTGTACAACGACACAGTCAGCAAGCTTCCCGAAGACATGCACACCGGTATTCACCTGTGCCGCGGCAACTTCATCGGGGGCCGCCACTTCGCCGAGGGTTCTTACGACATCATCGCCAAGAAGCTCTTCCAGAACCTCAACGTCAACACATTCTATCTCGAGTACGACACCGAGCGCGCCGGCGGTTTCGAGCCCCTCCAATTCCTCCCTAAGAACAAGAACGTCGTTGTGGGTATCATTAGCACCAAGATCCCCAAGCTCGAGGATAAGGAGGAGATGAAGGCCCGCGTTCTCAAGGCTGCGGAGTACGTCGCCAAGGGAAGCGGTGAGACCAAGGAGGAGGCGCTCAAACGTATCTGCGTGTCTCCCCAGTGCGGCTTCAGCACGCATGAGAGCGGATACCCGTTGAGTTTGGAGGACGAGAAGAGCAAGCTTTCTTTGATTAGGAAGATTGCTGACGAGATTTGGGGCGAGGCGTAAGGGAATTTACCTAGGTGCACGTGAGAGGAATGAAGGCGAGAGTGGCGGTGTAACATTCAACATGACAGTCTCGAGGGAGAGCGGGTGTAGATTACTGATTGCAAGCGTGTCTAAAGATGTTTGGTCTGTTTTCTTTCAACCTAGTCTTAGGAAACCAATGTCTTTGATGACAAAGTACTTCAAAATGATGGCGTCGAGTTCAATCCTGCGAGTATGATTGCTTGGAGATCTTTAGAGTACTTGGACCCTCGCTGACCCTCGCTGACCCTAAGCACGAGGGTCAAAGGTCTAGCTTGCTCTAAGTAAATTCAAACAGCTTCAGCCGTCTTGCAAGCTTAAACTCGAGTTACCAACAGACAATTCTCCACATAATGGTAGACAAAGTTAAGGCCAAAATTGAGATGACGCAGTAGTGAATTGGTAGCTGACTGCCAACTATGGACTGGGTGAGAGACATGAAGAATGGTACTAGTACTATAGTATGTTGGTTGAATCTCTTCAACCGGGTATTGAGTTAAATATTGAAGCGAAAGAAAAGTGTTGGGCTACCGTCTGTGACGTAGTGTGAAAAGAAGATGGCCTCGAGAAGGCGTCATGTTACGTCGCCTTCACAGCCAAGAAGATTCGGGCAAGCCCAATCCTAAATAGCCTTGACAGATCTCAGAAGGCTCGAGACACTACTCGAGACTTTGGTCAGAAGAGAAGACTCGGATTTTGTTGTCTCGGCTGTCATAACACTCCGGCTGGTCTCGCTGGACCGTCGCCTGGAGTGCATCTCCCGGACAAACTTAGGCCAGGTGTTTGTCAACACAAGATACTTGATGTGGTCTTGTGCGCTATCAAACACCGTAGAGCTGAATCCCGCGGGGATATCACCGGTGTAGCGAGCTTGATGCCGGATATCACCGCTGCTTCCCGAGCTTGACCCTGTGCGTGATCTAAGGTAAGCGTCATCGAAGGGGACAGCAGTGTTGACAGAAGCATCTTCCCCAAACAAGATGCGGGCAGGCTTGTCAAATACCCGGAACAGCTGCTTCATATCCTGTGATGGAAGGTTCAGAGGGAAATCAGCATGCTCCAGAGAGATGAAGTCGGCGTAAATCTGGAGGGCGAGATTGTATGCATCAAGTTTCTCTTCTTGAGCGAGAGACTCGCGAGATTCCGAATCCGAAATGGCATTCGGCCAGGATCTCGACTTCCATTCGGAGACGCGAGCGAGGAAGGCAATGTTCTCGCCGGAGAAGTCGCTGAGGGCAGAAAACTCCTGCAACGCGCCCTGATTCTCCCTTAAAGCGTGATCGAGTGCGGTCATTGTCAATAGACGACTATCAATATCTGTACCAATGTCGGCGGAATCCGTTTGGCAGACAATCGGCTGCCCCTTTTCAGCTTGGCTGGAAGAGACTGGATGTTTCTTGCCATGGAACGACCTTACAGTCGACGCCCTGAGTGTTGTCTGTGATTCAGTCTCCCATTTTGCGTTGGCTTCCGTGACGTTCCTGAGGAGGATGCGGAGTCGAATGATTTGGAAGAGTGGGACAAAAATCGTGAAAATCTCAAACATCATGGTTGAGAGATGAATCCTAGGTCCTTGCATCAGCAACTACAAGGCTTTTGAGTAGTAGGGGTACCAACCATTGGCTTGGAGGGAAGTACATGTTGATGGTGTTGAAGGCTGGTACATATGATGCAATGAGAAACATCGGTGTTGCATGAAGACTTGGAAGTCAATGCTGTCAGCAAAGTTCGAACGAGAAGACGGCTAGGAATTGTAACGCACCCTGAAAGGCAGCAACCGATGGTCTGAGTTCGCCATCCCATTGTATCTCGAATACTCCATGCCCGCCAGATGAGTGTCGGCGCAACCTTTAGGCAGTCAGCTATCAGTGTATCACGCGGAGCTGAGGGATATGAATCAAAGTATGGAAGGAGAAAGTCATACAATCCAAGTCCAAATGAACTGCCAAAGGAGGGTTGGCCACCACTCCCATCCGCGGCCCAGGTCAATCAACTGCTCTACTATGTTGTCTCCGCGGATCTCTGTGCCGGGGATGCCGAAGGTAGGGTGATATTTCTTGCAGGCAACCCACATGCCGGTTGTGAGTAGGCACTTGAGAGTGTCAATATCGTTCAGTTGAATAGGGCTTTTGAGTTATATCATCCAACATACCTGAAAAATCGCACCGATACCGATGAAAATCAGGATTCTCCTCCCATAGTCCATATTTCTAAAGCGACAAAGCCACGACGTCTTCGAACCATTGCATCCTCTTCGGATACTACCAGCGCCAGTGCCAGTGAAGTGAAGCCTCTGCAACTTCGCAACGTGTAGAAACCTGCTGTTAGAGGCGTGGAAGCACGCAATACCGAGCGGAAACCAGATACCCATCACAAAGTACTGAACGTCGTACGCAATGACCACGGGCATCGTTCCGCCGATCGGGTATGTAATCTGAGCCATGCACCAATACAAGTGCAGAAAGATAATGGACCCAAAGGCCAGAGGCAGGCCGCGAAGTCTCAAGATGGGGTTTCTTCGGTTGGCCCAGAGGAAAGCCATACCCGCAAAAACGATTGCTGTCCATGTTGCGCAGAATGTGATATAAAATATGCCAATTCTATCCCATTTTGGCGGCATGGGTGGGAAGTTGTAGATCGTGAGGCCGGCCAATGCTGCTGGATCCATTGTTAAGGTGGTATGTCGTAGTGTCTGTACGTTGCATGAAGAAGGCAAGGGAGAGGGGGGTAGTCGTGATCTTCTTGAAGTTCAGATACGGACTTGGGCAGGGGGCAGCCGCACTTTTCAAGACAACAGCATTTTCGTGGATGTGGGTTGCAAGACAAAGCTTTTGCCGCAGTAAGACCTCGTCAACGCTTCACAAACGACAGCATTGGCACCTGAGAAGTATGGGGATCGCCCATCTTAGATCGCTAGATCCAGCCGTGGGATAGCGTGCTTGGCGATAATATCAATGTGATACAGATGCTCAGTCCCTCCGAGGCAGCGAATCCCATTGTTCCGTGCTGTCCCCCTCGCATTGTGGCGTCCCTCAGCTATGGCGAATACCTTGTTTGGTACATTGGCAGGCCCACAACCGATGAAAAGCAGGGTGTTCGCCTCAACTCGGGCTGCCTCTGTTCCTCCCCGTCTTCTTTGCTCCTCTTCTTCATCTTGTCGATCTTTCGATACCGTCTGTGCTCCAGTGCCCCCGGACCAGATCGAGTTCGCTAGACGTTGCGACTAGCCCGCGCTAGATGAGAGATGGCCCAATCAGAGGAGTACCGTTTTGTCTTGGATTTTGCGATCTTCACGACTCAATCTCACCCAGGAAAAGCAAGATGGAGTGCCTTGCATGCGTCAAGTTTTGGAATCTTAGTACTCAACAATGACTTAGTCTGAGAAGTCCGAGTCAAACAGCCTGCTCGAAGCCCCACGAGATCCCCTCATCCAAACGGCATGCATACTTGCTTACTTCATTGGGATGGCTACGTCCTCGACCTGCTGGATGTGCATTAGCGTTGGGATTCACGGCAATAGACGTCTGTTGATCTTTCCTTAAAGCTCCAACTTTTCTCAACGACCGGTTGGCACCGTCAGCCTCTTTGAGACACGGCATTTACGCAGGCGAATGAACAAATATGAAATGGAATCGCTATCCTCCTATGCAGCCCCGGCTGGCTTAGAGGCCCTCAAGCCCTTTCGCGCTCGTGTGTGGATGACGGAACCACGTGGTTGCACGTATAGAGAAAGCAGATGTAAGTCAAGAACTCCAAACTTACGCATAGATGAATGTATTCCTTGCACATGGGATCAAGTCTCTTATCATCAACTCATGCCGCACAGTCATGATTCAGAATACTCATCTCGTAGAAATCGGGCCCAGAGCGCTGGAGCAAGCCGATGCAACCAGATTCAAGTCCATCCCAAATCCAGAGACTTGGGACCCCAAAGCATTCAGGGGCCCTTGTAAGATGCACAGGCTTGGGCAGATCCCGGGCATGCGGCTGTCTCCCCCGGTCGATACAAAAGATGATTCCATAGAAGCCATCAAATTCAATCGTGCCAAGTCACTCAGTGTCACTAGTCTCGAGTGTCATGTCTTATTTCTTTGGTCCGGTAAACCATTCCTCACCTTGGAATCGGCATTTCAAGAGCCCGTGCATCTGGATAACGATTACGATCGTCGCTGTCAGCTCGGATCCCAGTCTAGACCACAGCAAGGAGCCCTGCATGATTTTGCGAAGACTTCAAGGTGGCTTCATGTGACCAAATCTCCTTCAACGCTTGGTGACTTCAATTGAGGCCCCAAGTACCTTCAATTTTGCCCAGAGACGACGAAATGGTGTCCTGTTTTGGTCCAGGACCCTTCTCTCGCAAGGTTTGACAGGAAGGGAAACTAACCTGCGCCACCATGTGTTCTACTGCCGACGCCTCTTCGAACAAAGACGGCACCCAAGCATCCGTCGACCGTTCCTAATGCCAAGAAACCGGCCAATCGTCTGTCATTGTAGCGGCCGGCTGCGCAGATAAACAAAACCAGTCGAAAGTTCGCGGCTCAAGCGCAATTCTAGTTCGCTGTTCGACTGACCACAAAGGGCCTCGGGCCGGTAATATTCGATGATGGCGCAAGGGTGGTATCAGTGGAAAGTACTACGTTGCGTATCTTTGCCTCGCTATTAGTCGCCGATCCTCATGGTGTTGTGATGTTCCGAACAATGATACGCCTGAAGTCATGCTGTAAGACCGGCAGCTATCACAGCGCCACATACGAAAGGCATCTAAGCATCGCCAATGCCTCTCCTGATTACAGATATCCAGGCCTAGTCTAAAGATGATTTGAGGGTCAGGTTCCAGTAAATGTCTTGATTGAGCGCCTGAAGAACATCCAAGTCTATCTGGCTTCAAGACGTGATACTACAGGTTCATATCCAGTACATTTTGTCGATCCTAGGTACCTACTCACAAAGGGGCCTGACGTGAAGTCGAAAGTATACATTCACCTTGACTCTATGGGGACAAATGTCATGGCTTCTTGGCTGCTCCCAACGTTGGCTCATTGCACCATGCTTCCTCCGTTGTTGGACCGATTGAGAATATTGAGGAGGATTGATTATTCTCGTGACAAGCATTCTCGTTTCAAAACAGAGTCATTCGAATGCCCCAGGATATCAACAGTAACTGTTCCTGGGCCTTGGTGATTTGATGCAGAATATGCCAACTTGCGCTTGCTGTAAGCTCCATGAGGGTCTGTTGGTGGATTCAAAGGTACTGTGAATCGTATCTAACCATAAAACAGTTACCCCTTGGGGGCACCATCAGGCCATTTGTTCCTGTGATAGTTTGAAACTCTTTGAGTTCTCCGTAAAGACACCTGGGATAATATTGCAGACAGCAAGTGACGTTTTTCATAGTCGTGGCCTTCATAGGCTCAGATTGCTAGGAACATCCACAAGTTTCGTATCTATATCCTTTCACATGTCGTTGTCGTGAGATTACAACTTTGGGTGTACAAGTCTCTCAGAGTCCGTAAGGGGATCAGATACCGGTGCATGACTGCAAGTTGTAAATGGTAGGTACTTTTGACAGCTCATTACTCTTCTGGAGCCCCGGACCATACTAGCCAGACTAGAAGAAGCAATCGTCAAAATAAAGTCGGCAGTCCGTGTCGAGGCAGTCGGCAATCATTGACAAAATCTTGAACCCGATCTTCCTTACATAGACCGTTCGATTTTCGCTAGAAGTTGCATTTCATCAAGCCCAAACTTCGGTTCATCGCAGGAGCTGAACCATCTCCGTCACGATAATCCCTTTCTCACCCAGACCAAAAGTTCCAATGGATCGAAGATTCCGGTAAAAGCTTCTCTAGCGAGACACAAGCAAACGTAGAAGGCTTACTCTCCAGCTCGCTTCCCGAATGTCTCTGAATCGACTGTTGTGGCTGTTAGCCTGTGCCGTCTTCGGGATGCCTCACTTACCATTCTCTCAGGCCGACGAGCGCCACATTTCGACTGCCACGGATTCTTCGTGTCTTCACAACCATGTGGCCGCAGTCGTACGAGCACGTGGCACTGACCCCTGAGGGGCTGAGCGGTTTCCTTCCAGAACTTCTTCCGTGGAGAGAAGGAGAAATTAGCAGAACGGGTACACGAGAACTCCTTCGGTTGCCCTTGGCGTTATCTTGCGAAAAAGAGGCTTGATCCCCTCCTTGCTTCTCTTTGCCGCGTTGTGTAGTTGTGGCTTGGTGGGCAGTGGTCTGACGGTCCGACGGATGATGCTTGGCTTGAAGCTTGGTCGCACCTGTATGTTGTGTACGACGCTGAAGGACCTCATGTCTCAGGGCAAGGTCTGGGGTTTCGGGCAGAGAAAGGGAAAGAGAATGGGCAATCGACGATGGTCTCTGTTGAGCCGTTTGTTTTTGTTTTTCCAATAAGGCTAATCATGTTTCTCCTACTGCTCAGACCATCTTCGGTCTCCCCGATTGGACAGACGGAGTGTCTACTGTCTCGACAGATGGAAGATTGAAGGTATCACGACATGGAAGGTGGGATACCGAAACTTTCCGTGCCGCTTCGTGGTGAATCACGATCTTCCGGCCGAGATGACGCTCGCGTTCCTGGAACGTCGCTCAGCTGGACGTTCGATGCCTTTCGCGCCTGAAGTTTATTGACTCGAGTGCTGTCGTCCTACGTCGCTCTGCCAAGGTGTCACTATCCTAGTGTATCGATGGGGGCCACGGTTGAACTTCCAGACACGTCAGAATGATCGTCAGGGGGAGGCAATAGAATTCTTCTGCCAAGCGTAACTGTTTCGAGATATGTAGACTTTGTATCTCGCAGCGTTTCCATGGTGTGTATACTGTTCACAGCCTTGGCTGTTCTACGAACAGCGTTGGATTTGCGTGAACACTACGCACACTATTCATGGCATCCCGCGGAATCGCAAGCCTATGAAGGTAACAACTGTAGAGGCACGACAGGTAATAGACCGGGCAGAATTGATAGATCATTATATCGATGCAATCGCCCTTCGTACCCGGACCCAAACCATGCAATCCATGTCGGACATAGAAATGTAGCTAGCCGCGGGACAGATTAGGTCGACCCCGGGCACCGGCTTCCGGACATAGCAACACAGCACCACGAGTCTACAACAGCCCTTATTCCATCGAATCGCGTATCCTTCCGAAAGTCAAACAACTGGTTCCAAGATGTTGGTCGAAATGCAGGTCTGCCCGAGCTTCCCAATTCCCCTTGCACCTCCCGGGTGCGCAAAGGTACATGTAGCTCAGAGCGTAGGTCTCGGACGGAGAACGAGACCAATATTTCCTTCTTCTCAATGTTCGACTGCGTCGATGCGCAGCTGCACTATGCCGCGCGTGCGTCTTCAGCGTGAGGAGGAGCGAGACCTGTACTTTGGACAGCTGTTCGGGCTCAAATGCTTCGTGCGCGCGAGGATCCTGTTTCTCGAAGAGCAGGGGCCCGACAGGTGGGTGCGTGCCGGGTTGTCTTTTCAGGTGATGCTGAGACATAACAACGTGGGAAGAGTCCCACGGGAGCCAGGTTTGAGGGGCAGGGCTTTGATGCTCCGAAGATGTTGACATTTTTGTAGACGGGTGGTGGCTTTCACCAAGATTTGGGAGCACTTTCCCACGGAGAAAGAGATCTTCTGCTCTAGAGGAGGAAACGATCTATCTTGCTCTCTAGACGAAACATACCCTATGAACATCACCTAAAGAGAAGGCTCAACTTCCAAGTCAACCTCTAAGTTCTTCGCTTTTCTAGTAGTCACATGTTGATATGTAGTCCTTACGCTAGAGTCTGTCGTACTGCGAGGGGAAGAGAAAAACTAGCATGGAAACCACTAGTGCAGTGCAACATCACAAGTCGTACTTGTGCTCGCACACTTGACACTTTCCATGGGGCCGCACAAGAAGCCATGCGGTGTTTCGATACTGAAGCGGTTCTCTGGATTCGTCGGGCAGCCTCCTCGAGAAAGTATGTGCCACTGGTGGCGTATCGAGGCCTTGGCTAGACGTGACTTTTTTTGAGTATCTTGTCGGTGAATTGTGTTGTCATGGATAGAAGTGAGCGGTGGATTGAGCTGACGATGGGAAGGAGATTCATGCAGGCGAGAAAGGAGTATAAAGAGAGGCTCGAATCTCACGAGTTGGTGATCGGAAGATGGAGAGACATCACAGACATCACTCGGATCATCATCTTCCCAAACAATAACTGCACATCGATATTCATACTCTCACCTTCAGACACTCAATAAGAATCAGCAATACCCAGTTCAAGGTATTCAGCTTTGATATTCTCAAACAAGGGTATCTTTCAGAGTACCTTACGAAAGACAAGATGGGCAAGCATACCTCCAAGCAGTCTTCCTCGAAGTCTAAGAGTATAAAATCTCCCCGATCCTCAAAACTAAGAGACCACAGCTAACTGAATTTACTACCGGCCAGGCCCCGGCACCAGGGCACCCAACGGGCAGAGCTCCTCCTCGTCCAGCACCGTCCCGGTTGACCGATCGCTCGGCAGGAGCCAGACAACAACAACAACGACCATGGGGGCTCACGACAGTCCGATGGGTATGTGGCTAACGCAGCCGTTCCATCAGGAGCCATACCACAATATCGCCGCGGTTTCGGCGGACGGATCGGCGGCGGGGCAGGCTGACGGACGTCAGGGGTCCGGGGCATCGGCGACGTACGCCTCATCCCGGCCGCAGCAGCAGCAGCAGCAGCCGCGCTGAAGTACCTACTGCATGGTCCTTCAAGAGATCTTAGTCTAGTTAAGGGACTGTTCTAGTTCGTTTTTGTTAGAAAAGTCTCGTCATTGGATTAACGTCGCCTATTTTCAGTTCTGTCACCACTATTCACTTCAAAGATAGACTTAGATGCACTTTGCAATAAACATCTTCTCCCGTGCCTAATCGGAAGAGCCTCTCGATTCTCTACCCCGCGCATCATCGTGGAGATGAAGGGGTCCAGAATCCGTGCGCACAATGTCAGAAGACGCAGAGGGCTATGACTGACTTGGTGTCATGGCTTGGCGATGAAGTTGGGATGTGGCTCGGGAAGAAGCCAGTGGATTCGGGCTAAAGTTTCATGAGGCTGATGAGGAACTCTGAGAGATTGGGGCCAAGGTGGCTGAGAATGGCGCGCTTTGATTAGTGCCATCAGCCCCGACTCGATGCAGCATAAAGTTGCTGTTGAGCAACAAGTCCTCATAATACCTACTACTCCGTCCGAACATGTAAATCTGACATCGCCCCCAACAACGAACATTGAAGACAGAGTTCCGAAGCCTTGGTACCTAATTCTCTTCTTCGGGACCCGCGAACGCAAAGTGCCAAAGGAATCTTCGTATTTGCTTTTTTCGGTTCTTCCCCTGCCTGGCCCATCTCTTGGCTGTTGGCCCTATTCGGCACTCATTCTCTCGGACGCATCCGGGCAAGCGTGCCGAGCCCAACGGCGCAGCTTGGCAAGGCCTCCCAAGGACCCAAAGCACAGATGGAGACGTCATGCAAGTTGCACAGTCACTTGCCGCTGTCCCCCGCGGGCTGCAAGCAGGCGGCCAAGAGACTTAGGAAGCACTTGAGAACTCTCTTGAAAGAGGCTGGAAAGAAGATACGGAATGTTGGGGAGGATTGTAGTTGAGTGAATACCCGGGCAACCCTGACGGTGTGCGTGATGTCCCGATGCGTGTGTATGTGTGTGTGACTTGTGAATTCGATAGTCTGGAGTTTGAGTATCAAGTTTGGATTTTGGCGAGATTGAAGAGTTGCAGCGGTGGTCGTAAGCTGACTGAGAGCCGAATTATTTTTGGGGATAGGCGTCCCTTTGTCCGGGGTTCAATTTCCCTATTCTCGCATGCTCGCTTGTTGACAGCTCGACTTATGTCAGCGGCACAAGTCGACGAGATGAAGTCAGCAAAATACGTACCCTCTCACCCTCTGTACAGAGTTGCTTAGGCTCATTCTCACTCTCACTCCCATTCTCAATCTAATTCACCTTACCTCTCACCTGACTCTCAAGAGTCTCAATCGTCTCAAACATCTGAATTGCTTTACTGGTCCAGGCTAGCCTATGTTCACCCTTCCCTGCCGGCTAGGGACAGCAAAAAGCATAAGCATAAAAGCAGAAATGAGACGGACAACCTACATGACGTCAAACACCCCAAATCAGAAGGCCGCCATCCTCAGTAAGCTTTGACCGAAATTAATTGGCAGCGGACGATGGGCACTGTTTTTGGTTTCACACACAAATGAGTTTTCTGTTTAGTGTTCGCGGTTGCTTGTGTTCCCCAGGTTCAAGCCCCCTCAAAGCGAGCCAAACCTAGCGCGACCATCGAGTCTACAGTGGAGGGAAGGGAAAATCCTTCGAGGTAACAGATCTCTCTATGATGTGCACTAACTGCCCATGTTTTGCGTTGAGATCGCTTCGCTTCGTCTTCCATCATCGGCCCCCTTCTCCACGTGGATGCTCCTTCGTTCTCTGTCGAGAGAGGGTCAAGAGCCCACCCCTTTTGCGCCTCAGTTTCAGTGTTCTTTTGAGTGTTCCGGCAGGGAGGACGGCGTGGACGGCACCAGGGGCAACACTGTATGAATAAATGTGTGCGGTAGTTGGAGGGTGGAGAAGGGGCTTCAAGGGGCGATGAATTTGTTTATTTGCAAGGGGGCAGCAAGGGAAAGGAGACGAAGAGCGGAAGACAACTGCAACACAGCGACGAGAATGTCACTGAATGATTGACTGAGAAGTGTTTGCAGCATGCGCTGATCGCTGGATGCAGGGCCGGTGAGACAGAGAAACGACTGTTTGGGTCCCAGGAAGACCCTCTCTCGAAGTCTTCTCTCAGTCCTCGCCCAGTCAATCAATCACTCTCTGGCTTCCCGCTCCCGCTTTCTGCAGAGTTCCCAATTCATTTGTTCTCGACCAGTCCACTTCGTCCCTGACGAGCTTTCCTCCACAAAATTCCTGCAGAAAGATTGGAAAACGAATGACTAGATGGGCATAGCGCGCCCCTCCTCACGCGTAACCCAGCCACCCCCTGCACCACTTGACTCTTTCCGTCCTTCCGTCTTGTCACTCTGGAGTCTGTTGTCTCGAGTAAGAGACGGAGAGAAGGAAACCAAAACGGAGAGCTAAACGCTATAACGGTTGACAGCGCTGAGAGCAGCTAGGTAGGAGCTGGAGGTTGGCGCACCTTTTCAGCTTTTGTTATTGACGCCTCGTGCAACACGCGCGACACCTTTGTTGACCGGGACCTTTGTTCCCTTCCTAGACACCTAGATTGTGTCGAGCAAGGTATTGTCCGCGTCTTTGCAACCACAAAGAAGGGTATGGTGGCAGGGAACGCAGTTGACAGGACAGCAAGCCATGAGAACGCCCTGTGCCGCAGAGGTGCCGTGATGGTGTCTTCGATAGCCAAGCCTCGTCCTTTTCTCAGATGGCTGGCTCTGCCGTAGAGATGTGCCCAGCTCGCTCGGCCGGCCCGGGTAGCTCGACTCTTTAGCTCGCTGGCGCTGCACCGCCCGGTTTGTGCTCTTCCATCATTGATATTGGGGGCCAATGGGGCCAATCAGTCAGAGACATACGCGGCAGGGCCAGTGAGTTGACGAGCATCACGGACTCCCGTGTTGCGTGCAGCAGGCTGCATAAGTGTCAGCAAAACGATGTTTGGATACGTGAGAGCGAGAATTGCGACCAGAGCAAGATAGAGTCCGAGGACCGCTGACAACAAGTTGAAGAGAAGAAAAAGACTGCAGTTGTGACCGAGCCTTCCGAGCTACGGCGGGACAATTCCCAATGCAGATTCCACCATTCGGGCTCCCATGAACACGGTACTCCGTACAGAATACGGAACCCGGTAGAGGAGGGGAGCCATAACCTAAACCTGAAGATGCAGCAATCCTTGTCCCGCCCTCGATCAGGGACCGGACTGCTTTTCGCAGCTCGCTAGAGGGGAAACGCTGGTCAAGCTGGAACCCCGGACCCAGTTTCTGACCCAGCCGGTGGCCACTGGTCCGTCGAGTTGATGAGGAGCCCGTCGTTCCCGCAGCGCTTCCCATGCTTTCAGCGTAGCAAGGCCCCGGTGATCGTTAGTGTTTCCCCTCTTGGGCCCGTCGACAGTGTGTGTTGTCACTGTGGCTAGTGCCAAGTTTGTGTTCGTTGTCGGGAGTGTCGTGCTGTGCTACATACATAGTGAATGCTGAGATGCAGAAATGGTGGTGCCGTGTACGATGGATGAATGGAGGATGGGGGGATGCAGGCGCTGTTTAGCCGTTTGCTGGGGCTGGCGCTTCTGCATCGGCAGGTCAGGACAGGCCGGGAAATGTACTTGCGCACACACCTTGAAAGTGGTGGCAACGAAGGTACCGCCCCTGGGTCGTACCATCCCATCGATCCATCGCCCGTCCTTGGTCGGGTGTCTTACCGCGCATTTCTTGCTTTTTCGCCCTGTCGATTTCTCCCAATTGCCCATGTTCCATCGGCTCTGCCATCCAAATTCAGTCCCGTCATCAATCATCCGTTTCCCTCATCTTGTCTCCTTCTCACCACCTTTCCTCCCTTCCACTTCCTTTTCCTGTTCGTCACCTTCACTTTCGCCAAATATCCGACACAATTAAACAAACCACAGCCAGCCCGGCTTCAGTCTCCTTCTCCTCTCCCGTCCTCTTCCCTTCTCTCCTCCATCTCCCCACACACTCGCTTCGTCACTACAACAAGGAGAAGCCTCGAATCCAGTATCAGCCGTGCCGACCGACATCGTCAAGCTTCACGCACTCGACGTTCGCTTCCCGATTATCGTCACTCGCTTGTACCACCTCGCCCCTGGCCGACCGACGTACAATCGACGAAGGATCCAGATCAAAGTCCACTGAAACGCCGCTTCCCAGGACCCGTCCTACGTATACGAGAATCTCGCTTCCTCCAAATACCTACGCTCCATCCTCCGAAGCCCGAGCCGACCGAACGCTGGTGACAAACACCCGCAATTGTCAGAATCCACGCTTCCTCGACGTCACAAACCGGAACACGAAAAATCATCAGAAGGACTTCCATCCGCACGGAATCTCTTCCGGAAATTTTCAGAACTTGGCTTTCGTGCATCGAAACGCACATTACGACGTTTTGAAGCAATCTGTGCGGCAGAACCTGGGACGGCAGCTGGACCTGGCTCAACCTCGACCGACTTGGGACGAAAACCACACGCTGACGTGCATATCCGCCAACGGCATTGTTCACAACTCGGGATTTTTTTTGCTGTGACCAAATTCAATCTGCGAATTCACCGCTGCCAACTGTGCATCGCATTCCTCTCCGGCCGCCAATTTTCTGGGCTTGACTCGCTGGATTGTGGCTCAATTTCGCACTCGTGCCACCCGACGTGTCTTGGACCACCGCAATAAGGAGGGAATACCTACCATCGATTGCTCTCAACGTCTCCGCATTCCAACGACTTGTTTTGGCCGCAACGGCTGACAAGTTGCCTACTTCTCTCCGAATTCCTTCTTTTTCCATTTCCAACGCTCCATCTGTTCCCTTACTCTCCAACAAATCGCCAATACCGTCAAGATGTGTAAGTGACAATTCCGCAATCTTGGACGATAAATCCCTAGCTAAACATGATGCAGCTGGCCTTTCAACAACGATTATGCCCTTTGCGCAGTTGCCCGCGTGCGCTGTGAACTGTGGCCCCCTATACGACGCCAACGGCGCCTGTGTTCCTCCTGCTGTCGCGGCGGCAGATGCCAATACCTACGACAGATGTTTCTGTAGTCAGGGTGTTCTGCAAGCCTTCTCAACAGCCGCCGGCGGTGTCTGCCCCGCTGCTGGATGCGACGACGCTGGCTTCAGCAGTATCCAAGGATGGTACACTTCATTCTGTAATTCCGTCACAGGCGGTGCTGCGACTGCATCCTCGTCCTCGGCAGGATCTTCCTCAACAAGCGGAGCTTCAAAAGGATCCTCCAACAGTGGAAATGGCGGCGATTGGTGAGAATATTCCCAGCCTTCCATGCCCCGCTATCGCTAACCTTCCAATATAGGCTCTCTAATCACTGGAGATGGGTCGTCATGCTTGTCATCCTCGTTGTCGCCATTGCTGGTATTTGGGTTGGCGCCTGCATCTGGCGCCGACGCTACCTCCGCCGTAAGGACCGCATGTACGAGCTCGGCAAGCACGCGCACAAGGGACCTAGCGGCATCATTGCCGGTTCTGGTGTCAATGTCAACCAAGCTGGTATCGTCAACTCTCCCGGCCAGTTCATGCCCGGCCCGCCGCCTGCCGTGTACGATGAGAAACCCCCCAAGGAGAAGAAGAAGTGGGTTGTCAACGAGCGGACATAAGAGTGCGACTTCATTAGACATGTTGTGCGGCATCACTCTTCATCACTATCTCTCAACGGCTTAACGAGACGGCGTTCACATATTTCACGGCATTGGTGTTTGGATATTCACACATACTTGTTCTCAGGCAATACTTGTTGCTCTTCCTTTTTTCCCTTTGGTCATTGATTAGGCGTACGGCTGGAAACAATGGAGGGTTCTGTCGTCGGACATAAACAGCATTGGTGGTCCTGGTTCTTGACAGTGAAACCACGCAATCAAAAAGGGCGAGTTTGAAGGGGTGGAAACAGGCCGATGGCAGGAGACCCCCAGTCTCACACAGCTGCGTAACAGAAGCGGCCTGTTTCCCTTGGGCCCCGGGGGAAATGTTCTTTGAAGAACAGGCCCCGGAAAGCGGGAGGGCTCGTGTGGTCAGCTTAGCATCATCTCGAATCAAATGATAATTTCTTATACCCGTTCACAACCACGGCCACTGACACGCTTTGCATTCAGAGCACCAGCAATGTTTTGTTTTGTTTTGCAACTGTAACTGACTCGATGCCGATATCCCGTGGTCGTATGCGTAAGCTTTTTCTTCTTTCAATCCCTTGCCAAAGAGTATTATCCACAATCATGAGGCTTGTCTGAGCGGGTCGATCAAACTGCCATGTGGGCGCAGAGGTCCTGGCACCTGCAGGATGTTTCGCAGGCATCGCGGTAGATTTTTCGATGGTTCCTGTTCATAATTGGTTCGAGCTTGTGTGCGGGACGAGTATCGTTTATGCTCCGCTACAGCTTCACTTCTTGGAAGAGAATTCGGCGTCCGCCATTATCGAGCTCTGCGATTCAATTGACGGGCATGATCACTGCTGGTATTTGTCGTTCGAGATGATGAGACTCTACAGGTAGGTTGGACGAGATATGTTGAAGGGTGGAGCTCCCTCCCTCTGCAACGAAGGACGGCAAGAAGAGGCGTGGACGCAGTTACAGTTTTTCGTTCCATATCTGGCCTGTATGACGAGCCCAACACTTCTGGTTGATATCTTGATTAGATCAAGATTGTGGAAGAGGACTTACGGTGTACATGGTGCTCCAGGGTATATCAACCTACATGTTCCTGCCAACCATTTTCTGAAGTGTAAGCATCGTGACTTTCGTCCGAAGAAACAGTGAACACGGATAGATAAATTTCTACATCTGTAAAAGGTTCCAGCCGGATACATGATCTGCGAATGAAGATCTTCGGCTATTAGGATGTCTTTCGTATACACAATAGGTCCTCAATTGGGACTTCTTCCTCACTCAATCACAGACGTAGACACCGATTCAACGGCTGCCGGCACGCGAGCTCAAACTAGAGAGGGCGCTCCTCATTCGTGCACCTATGAATGGTACTGAGGCTGGCATGAAGTCTATCACACGCCATACGTGAGTTCATCTGAGCACTAGACGTGCACCCAACATGAAGTCCAATCGGCTCCGATTACCAAATAATCCCCGACCGACGGGGCTTCCCCAAGCTCGCCGGCTCCCAGCTACCAGCACACAGACATTTACAACCATCCGCATGTCGATTCCCCTCGTTCTCCCATACATGACTTGGCAAATTGACTTAAGCTTCATCTTTCTAATAATCGTTCTACCACATCCCGTTTTCTACAGCCATGGCCGATGAAGCAACCCCCAACCTCCCAGCCCACCGCATCCCCACAGACCGAGACACAAATTCCCCATTCTGGACCGAGACCTTTCCCCCTCTCGAGGAACACACAAAAAGGCTCTTTATAGAATACGCAAAGATCCCAGAAGATAAGCTCCAAGACCATCTTGAAGAAGCAGTAGGTCGCTCACCGCCCGACCTCTCAAACTCACACTCACATTTCCTCCCCTGGACTTTCCCAAACCCGACTTCCTCAGCATCGTCAACGTAATACTGACCCACGGCCTCTCTCTCCTCAGCGCAGAAAGGCATGGAACGACTGTCCCTACCCATGCATAGGCCTCTGGCTCTTCCTCAAGCTACAGCTCCGAAGCAACAAGGAATTCGACGAGGCCGTGTGGCGTACGCAACGAGGCGAGAATCTCGTCGACTTTGGATGCGCCGTTGGCCAGGATCTACGTAGTCTGGTGCGTCTATCCTTTCCTCTCCTTTTGCCCTTCTTTTTTTCCTCTCCTGCCTGACTTCTTACACTCTACGCACCCTTACCATCAACTCCACAAGAACGCCATACAATATCATGAAACCATCTCGACCAGCAATCAACTAACAACTCCCCAGCTCCACGCAGGTTCACCCCCACAATCCCTCCACGGCATAGACCTAACCCCCTCCTTCTTCTCCGCCGGCAAATCACTCTTCAACGACCCTCACACCCCAATTACATTCCTCCAAGCAAACGCCCTCTCTCCGCCCTCAACCCTCCCCTCCTCCTGGCGTAACAACTTCACCATCATCACAGCAAACTACGTCCAGCACTGCTTCAGCCTACAAGACCAAGAAACCTACGCCGCCTTCCTGCTAGCTTTACTCTCGGGAAAACCAAACGACTTGATTTTCGGCCGCACGGCGGGCACGAAGGATGGCGAGGCGCGGAGGGAGGAGATGCACAAGGGTCAGAGGCTGTATCGGCACACGGAAGCGAGTTTTGTCAAGTTTTGGACGAGGGTGGCGGCGCAACATGGGAGGAGAGCGAGGATTGAGACGTGGGTTGACGAGGTTCCTGCTTTTGAGCTCAGGGGCGAGGGGATGGAGAGGTTTGAACCTGTCAAGAATCTCATGTATTCGATTCGGTTTGAGTGAGGTGTTTTGACATATTTTCAGCACGCGTGAAGAGTACGCAAAGCCAAAGGTTATTCACCCTCGTGTACTTGAACTATGCGACATCTACAAGTGTGACCAAGCGAAGAGGACGCAGTTCAGGTGTACCATGCTATTATTCATGCAGTCTATCTATATACCATTAAACGCGTGTCGTGTTCGGATCCAAAAATCAACAAAGTTCATACTGCTTTTGATCGGGCCCAGGGTGTCTTTTCTGCATCATCCGCGTGGAAACTCTCAAAGCGCCTAACTAATTTGAATACGGTTCCCAGTAGGAGTTATTAGTTTTCGCAACGTCGAATCATTTACTTGGTCCTTACAGGTAAGGCGATTTTGGCTTTGTCGCTTTGCTCTTCAGCCGCATCCATGTACAAGTCAATCAGACAACCGGCAGACCACGCCTGTGTAGGGCACTATTGTTTGTCAGCAAATGAGCCACTGTTTACAATCAGAAACAACTTACAGAATCGGGGCAATCTTCGCCATCCTTTTGCGTCAGCTCCGCGAGTCCGGCCCAGACGCTTTCCCGGATCATCTGCTTGCAGCCCATGAGTCTCCGCGTAACTTGCTGGAAGGCCTCGATGCGTCCAGCCTGGTCACCTCTTCTGGCGAGGTCAAACTTGAGCAGGGCACGGAGGAAGAAACCAGTTGGCCACAGCCATTCCGGGCCCTGGTGATAGTTTCGTCCCTTGCTAGTGGCGAAGTCCTCACTGTCTTCGCTGTTGCGGTAGTACGGCCTATAGTTGAGATCGGCGGGGTCGAGAGTCGCCATGCCTGTAGGTCCACGGATGGACTTGTCGGCTACCAAGAGGGCGTGCAGCGCATGCGCGGGATCGAAGAGCTCGGGTGCCGCGCACATGGCGATGGGGAAGTTGGCACGCAGCTGGTAGTCCTCGTACTCCTTGCCAGACTTGTACAAGTCCTTGTAAATTCCGCGACGATTGATGACCTGCGGGTTGACATCGTACTTGCCGTCTTCCTCAGAAGAAAGAGGAACCCAGTAGCATCGCTCAAAGTTGTCGCGAATCAGGTTGGCCCACTCTCTGTGAGAAATTGTCGACTCGTCTGCCTTCTTCACGGACGAATACTGGTACTTGCCTTGCTGGTTGAGCGACGCCACCCACTTCAGAGTGCTGTATAGGAGACCAGTGATCTCAATGGCAGCGCCGTCACGGGGTGTACCGGGAACACCCTTTGAGCCAGCTTTTTCGCTTTCGCCCATCTTGTCCATCCATGTACCGCAGTTATTCTGGTTACCACCAAAGATGATGCCAGTGTCCCAGTCAGTCTTGATGGAAATGTTGAAGCCATTGTCACTCATCTGCGAGTCGATCGAGGGACCAGCATTGGCCTCACGGAAGGACATGCCAGATGCGTGTCTCTGCAGCGCTTCCTGGATGATATCCTCGATGGTGCTCTCCTGGGAATAGGTGCGAGAGTCATCGACATCGAACCAGGTATCGTCGTAAGGCAGGAAGCGTCTCTTGACCTTTTCCTGGAGCAGGTCCAGTCCATTGGGTGCGAACTTGGTGTAGTCTTGGATGCACTGAAGGAAGAACCAGATGGAGTCGCGAGAGTTGTAACGCGGCAAAGCTCCGCTGCTGAGCAGGTTGGGAATCATACCGTGCTTCAGAACGCTGGCAAAGGCAAGGATGTGCTCCTTTGCTTCGTCGAAACGGCCGGTGCCAAGGTAGAGACCACGCAAGGAGATGAAAACATCACGTCCCCAGCATCTCGCCCACTCGACAGCAAAATGAGGCAGACCGGCAGCCAACGATGGGACCAGCTTCTTGGGCCACAAAGAGCCAGATTTGACCAGGCCAGTCTCTTGCACGCTGACCATGGCGAGACTTTGGAGGAACCATTGTCCTTCGCGAACGTTGTCGTTCATGAGTTCAAGTCCACGCTCCCAAGAGGCAGTGTACAAGGTGCGCAGAACGAGGCCAAAGTATCTTGGCAGCAAAAAGCTGGGGATCTTGCGAATCGCATCAAACCGCTCCTTGAGCCAGACGGCGGGCTTCTCAAGGTTCTCAAAGTCGGGAGTCTTACTGATGCGCTCCAGGCGTCCGACAATGTAATCCAGAGCCCATTGGCCGTCACGAAGATTCTGGCACAGAGGATGAGCAAGGTTGTTGTCCCGGATAATATCCTTCAGAAGACTCCACCATCCCTGGAGACCGGCATAAACGAGCTTGCCGTAGCCGGGAATCTCGTAGCAGCCATCGTTGCCACCGCTTCCATCACGTTCCTCGGCCTCACATCGGTAAAGCAGGAAGTTGAGATCCACCAGGTTCAGGTTCTCAACCGCGGACCTAGCACCCGAGGTGACGTAGTTGTCGAGACCAGATGAGTGCTCAGCTGCCGGGATCCATGTCTCGAAGAGAGCAATGCTGCCAGGAGGGAACTTGTCGCGCACAGTAATAATGGTATCGTCGCCCTTGACCTCCATGCGAACGCCGGGGACATCTACCACGCGACTAGGCAGGCCACGCAGAAGCTTCTTGTCGTCCAGAGCCTCCTTGCGAGCCTCGTCGCTTGCATCCACCTCAAGCATCCAGCTGCCAAGATGACGGGCTTTGGTGCCTCCAAGGTGTACCGCGTTGAAAGCGCCATTGCCGTTGCCGTAGCCAGGGAAAGCAGTGTGGGCAATCAGGAAGTATCCCTTTCTCGACTCAGGGTGTACTCTGTGTACGGTGATGTACTGATCCTCATGATGAATGTGGGTCTCATCGTATCCATCCTTGCCCATGAGGGTGTGGATCTGGTTCAAGAGCTTCTTGATGCCACCAATGCCGTTTCCGCCGCCACCAATCTTAACAGGCTTGGAGGATGACTCAGACGTGTACAGCCTAGTCTCGTTGACGAGGTCAACAAGTTTGGGGTAGATCTCATCATAACCCATGACACTGCCAGTTGCACTGGCGCACATGTTGACCAGAGCGGCGTTCGGGAGGGTATCGCGTGCATCACGCTTCTGAGCCGGGGTCTCGTTGTCATGGGTGCAGTCCATGAAGAGGGCCTGAACTGGTACAGGCTTGATCCTCCGGATGATCTCTCGCGAGGACGGGCTGCTCCCGTTGAGCAGGTCGCTGCCTTCGTTGGCCGGGCTCATGGGGCTCATTGGAGACTTGGGGTCTGCCTTTGAAATCTCGTCAACCTCGAAGCTTCCAATGGGACGACCGCCGTGCTTATGGACCAGGCGGCTGAGCTCTCCAGTGCTCCATGCTTGCATGGCTTCACGGATCAAAGCACTCAGACCCAGCCTCTTCACGAAGACATAGTCCATCTCCTCGGAGCCAGAGAACAACTCTGCCACGACATACAAATCCGGTCGGACTCGGCGTGCCTCGTCCAGAATGTGCTCGGCAACATGGATTGGCGTAGAGTGGCAGTTGTCAATGCGGAAACCGGCAAAGTACTTGGCGAGCATACGGGCATACTTGGTCATGAACTCCCACAGGAAAGGACTGTCTGAGGGACCCTTGCCGTAGCGGAGCTTGACGCAGTCGCCCCAGACAATGACCTCGCGTCTCAGGTATACGCGAGAATCCGGGCCGGCATTGTCGACCAGGGCGTTGCCGCCCCAAACCCAACCGTTGTTGACCAAGACATTCTCCTCGGGCTTATTCTTGGCCGTCGTGTCGTTCTTGGGCAGACGAGTGAAGTAGGTCTCGATGAGAGGGAACTCCTTGTTGATGGGGCCCATGCGCGGGCCATGCTCATCAAGTCGGCAGTACTTGATACGATTGAAGAGCTGCTGCAGGATCTCGCTGAGCTCGTTATCATACTCTTTGTAGAATGGCAGGTTGATCTCGTCGAGAATAGACACCAACTTTGACTTAGCAGCCGCCTTGGTCGGACCGCTACCCCCTTCACCCTCGTAGCGTCCGAAGATGGTGGACAGAAGTCCAGAAGCCACCTTAGGGTCGACCTTTCTCCTGAACCTCTCGCCCATGCGGTCACCGCCCTGAAGGCCGTTCTTGATGAGGAAATCGGCCTGGTCTTTGAGAGATGCGTCTTTCAGTCCCGTCACATTTGCGTCGCCAGTGGTGTCTTGCGGCAGGGTGGTGCTGCCGGCAACCCAAGCCTCCAAGCCCGCCTCAACGTCGCGCTCGACGTCAATGGCGTAGTATTCCCAGAGGCGAATCTCAGAGATCACTTGCTTCTTGATGGCGTCCATAATCTTGATGAGGTCATCGTCGCTCTTCACTTCGGTGGGAAGTCCAAGCTTCTCAAGGTTCTCGCTAAGCTCCAACAGCTTCGAGTCCAGCAGCCACGCGGACTCTAGCCAAGGTGCCGTGACCAAGTTGTATCCGGCATCCGGGTGATCTTGCAGCCATGCGGTATTGTGTGCCGTGTGATTAAGGACAATGTCGGTCAAACTAAGGAGGGAATACTGCTTTTCTAAGCTCTCCACCAAGCCCTGAATGTCTTTCTCGCCGGCAGGGAAACATTCGGGATCCCAGCCCAATTGATCGTACAAGCTGTATGGGGAATTGGAAGCACCGCGAACCTGCAGCGGGGTGAAGTGAATCATGTTGTAACCGCGATCGCTAATACCGCGAAGATGCTTTTCCCAGTCGCCTGGGTATTTGCCCATAAACTTGCTAATGACTGAGAAGATGGACAGAGCGGGCAATGGCAGCGGGCGGCCATCGAGACTGAGACGCGGGGCGACATCGATGTAGTAGAGGGGCGTCTTTTTGTTGGTGGCACCGGTCTGGGGAGTCGAGTCGAGCTCCTCTTCAAGCTCTGGCAGCTCGGCATAGGTGGTGTAGAAGGCGTAAGCGCCGGCCTGGAAGATGGGGATGGAGATTTCAATTGTCCGATTGAAGTCGGGCTTCAGTCTAGAAAACGCATGAGTCGCAAGCTCCATACACGAATACACGCCAGAAACTGGACAATGGCAATGAGGAGCAGTGGAAGCCGCAGAGAAAGCTTACTTGAACTCGCGAAACTGGTCTCTGTGAAACTCGGCG